GCGAACGGAGCGGCAACAACACGGTTTCAACATGTTTTAACCAAGTTTGAGCAATTTTTAAGAGGGTATCGTGACATCCAACACCACTACCACCTATACCATGGTCAAGCACTCACTTAGAGACAATCAACGGTACAAGAACATGAAGCTAGGGTTTAAACAATTTAGTCTGAATTTGAATGCCAAAACTGCATTGCCTACTATCTTTTTCCAACTTAGAAAAGGGTAAGTGTTCAGTTAGAACTAACAACCTTTAGCACTTTTGTCATAATTTTTAAAATGTCTAAACCCTATTAATTTCAACCAACAAGTATTTCGCACAATAGTCCATACTTCGTGCTAACCCATAGGGGCAAAATATCTAAGACCATTTAACTATTTTGCTTCGCCAAAAATGGCATTTTAAACATAAGTCTAAATTCTTGCCGATTCAACGGAACGGCTGATTTTTAGTTTTAGGTTTGATTTTTGAGATCTCAAGAACGCTAGTTAACAACATTTGTTTTCAAAATTTAAAGTTGCATTTTCAACTACACCACTTGCTCCTCAACTCTACTTAAATACTACACACAAGTTATATTTTATTTTTGTTTATATAAATTATTTTTCGTACCAAACAATTAAAATGATTTATCCCATTTTTCTTGCTAGGATTTTCATTAGCACATTTTACGCACTAAGTAAGTTAACTTGGATATTTATTTGAGTCCATAAAAGTGAGTCACAAAGGATTCACTTATCATTTTATATGCGTTATAAATTTTTAAAACCCAAAAACTTGTTTGGCTAATCTCTTTCTCGGGCCTCAGCCTCGGTGCTAAGCAAGTCCGTAACACCAAAGGTGTTATAGCCACCTCCCACCATTGCGCGTTGGTTGTGGGTTGACGTCGGCCCGATAGACACATATTTTTGGCCCTCGGTAGGCCGGTGTGGCCGTGCTGTGCCGGCCGGAGCCGCACCGTCGTGCACAGGGCGTCGGGGACCGACTCAGTGAGAAGGTAGGGTTTTTGGTGGTGCTCGATGTAAAATGTATCTCTAGTGAAATAGTGCTCGGAATCGCCGCGTAGTAATCTAATAAACTGGGGACTCTTTTGCAAAATGCGTGGACGCGCCCGTGTAGCGGGCTAGTTGGGCCGGCCTGCTGACGTGCGATCACGCCCCCGCGCGGGCTGCAGTGGGCTGCTGGGCCGTATTGTGACCGTTGGTTCTCCCTTTTTCTAAAATATTTTTTAATTTAGTTTCTAAGGCAAACTCGTAAATTCTATATAAATTTGTGTGGTTGACCAAAAATTATGAAACGAATTTTGTTAGGTTCCTAAAATCCTGATCCATCAGCCTGTATGTCTTGTTCACATAGTTTCATAGTATTTTCAGAAGTTATCTAATTAAATTGAGATGCATAATATTGTTAAAATATAAACTTCTAGGAATTTTTATGATTAATCAGTGCAAGTGTTAATTCTAGAAATTTCGCAGTAAATTCCTAATATTATGAGGTGCTCGCTGTAATTTTTGTAGCTTCATAATAATTAGTTTACTAAGATAACTAAGGAGCCCTTGTTCGAATATAAATTAAATCAATGAAATGAAATAGAGAAACACCCTGAGATTTTAGAACTAAAACGCTTGTCAGGAAACAACGTCATATTCGACAACATGAACACATAGCCTAGTATGTTAGCTATTAGGGTTAGCTCGTTAACTTGAGAGGCGTCAACGTACTTTAAGAGTTGCGGTTGTCGTTGGTTAATTATGTCTCTACGTTGTATCCACGTATATAATAGGAACGACTATGGATCGCGGAGTCATCTGGAGTAGAAGAAAAGATGGTGCCTTGATGATCGTATCACCGCGACGAAATGCTAACTTCTGGTTATATCTTACCCAGGCAAGCCCCGGTGCATAACCCCTATTATTCTACACTTTATTTTTTGCTTATGCATTAAGTTTTAAGGAGTTGAATGAAATCCACTTGCATATATATATATATATATACATATATATATATATCCTTATCCTATGAGTCTTACTAGTATGGCAGGATCATTTTGCCGCTATGCTATAGGACTCCGATAGAAGTCGAGTTATTACCTGTCACTCGTGAGAGATAGGAAAGATATTATTGTTGTTATTATCATATTACTATCACATGGAATATATATGGATGATAATTGGAGATCAGTCGGGATTGTACATTGGATTTGGACTTAGTTAGGCAACTGAGCGAGGCTCCGGTTGCATTTGTCCCGCCTGAGTCGATTGAGGACCGTCCATTGCTGTGGATGGTATTCGGGTCACAGACTTCTTATCCTGAGCACATACTTACTTATGGGAGTGGAAAGACTTGTTACTCTTTTATCATGGGTTCCGGCTCTTTCCCGACCGACTTTTAGGAGCGGGTATTAGGTGGAGGTCTAAGCACCATACTGAGACCAGGTCTCAGGTGTTGGGGGCTTGGAGTCCAAGTTTGGACGGGGACCTGGACCCCTTGACAGAAGTGGGTTGGTCTTTTTTGTGCCTAGGGCACAAGCGAGACGTGTGTTTCGGGGTACCCAGCTGGGATACATCGATTCACTAATCGTCGTTTTTGTGAGACGGTAACGACTTGGCTATGGTCTAACATCGTAGTAAGAACTAGAATATGAAAGATGGTAAAATAATTCTGATTGTTTATCACATGCTTCAAAGTAGCAAATGCGCTTACCTAGAATGATTAGCTAATTAACTAAAAATAACTGCAAAAAACTTAGAACATAAGGGTGCACTATAATGAATGCTCCCTGCAAATGTAATAAACCAACAAGCCAAATAAGTCTTGCATATTCTTGGAGTCTTTTACTTTTCTCCTATCGGGTAAGTCTTATTAAGTATAATCGATTACTCAGAGTTTTATTCCCCCCTATTGCAGGTGACAGGTGAATGTTAGAGTTGACTTTTGTATGTGGAAACCTCCTGGTGAGCTCAGAGAGGATTCCTTTCACGTTGCAATCGTAGTGTTGATTTATAACCCTCACTAAAGGTTTTATAAGAAAAAATGTAAAATCTGCTAGTATATCTTGTATATAAATGGTCATTATATTAATGCTTTACCATGTCATTAAATTAATCTTTGTTTTCGCTATAACTCTGATCATATGTTTATTTTTCGCTGCAAGATAAAACTTGTGAACCTAAAATGTATAAACTCATTTACATGTAAACTGTTTTAATCCCGCTGTTGCATTCAACTTATTTAAGTACTCGAATGTTGTAATAAAGTGATGTAAGAAATGTTTAAGAATATTATAAGCTTTATCCTCTCATTTATGATACTGACGAAAAATGTAGATTTTTTAGCTCTTCATTTGGGTGAGTTCGACGGAACGGCATGATTCAGTGCACTCTCTTGGATACTCAGTGTCTAATGGAGGACAAGTACTTTTGGGAGGGCATTAAATTAGGTAGTTCTGCCACACGGACGGTGAGAGAGCGAGCGACGCAGATGACTAGGACAGCGCAGTACGCGGTGGGGGAAGAGAGCGGACGAATGAGCGGCCACGCTGCTTCAGAGACGAGTGGATTAGCATATGATGGAGTGGAAATTTATTTTTTTCTTAAGAGAGATGGGACCTGCTCCTATAGAGCCACGTAAGGACGGGAGTTACTGATGGACGCACGTATTGGGTCATTATCATTAATACAACGTGATCGCGATCGTTTGTTTGGCCGGCCAAAACCCCCCTAATTGTTTTACTTTTAGTATTCTATGTCTGAAAATAGTGATCGAACATACAGGCAATAGAAAATTGAAAATAAAATTCTATTACCTGGTTTACTTCCTAATAATATTTCATATCTACGAATAGTCAGCCTGTTCGCTTATTGGTTTCAGTCAGGGCTTATTAGCCAGCTAACAGTGTTTTCCTCTCATAACAAACCAGCACCGATCAGACTTATCAGCCCAGAAACCAAACGAACAGGTCGAGTAATGATTGAAGATCCAATTCAGATGAACCTACTAACAGGCGACAAAGGCGGGGCCATGGCCGATCATTGCGGTACAATATTTCATAACATCTCCAAAACGGAATCTGCATTATCTACTCTACCTCAAAGTTAAGAGCAATTGTTATAGTCTTTTTTTTATCATGTTATTGTAAAATAAGATTGGAAATGAGTTTACACGGTGCTCTTTGGTTCGGCTTTTGACTCCAATGAAATACTATACAATACACATGTGTTTTAGCATAAAAAAACATATATATTTTTTCTCTCTCTCCCCCTCTCTTTTCAACTGTCTACTCGTATAGCGTATACGGGAGGACGAGATCAATCCGGCCAGCCATGCTTGAGAATCAAACCGTCTAGGCGTTTAGCTAATTTGGTCACGCGCACAGCTAGCACTGGACATATACGCGTATACGCGTGCGGCCGGAGGACCGTCAGACGTCTAATTTGTTGGATCTTAATTCTACGGTGAAAAAAAAATCATATGTTGAAACTGTATAAAATATATGGTTGTACAATCGATAGACTCATCTGGATTGCTTATTCTTCTAATTCTCTTACAGTTTCGAAGCTCGATGACACACACACACACGAAAAAAAAAGACCAGATGGCACATAATGACATAAGTAAACGCGGAACGCCAGCTGATTGTTAGTTTCCATCGTATACAGGTCGTCGGTAAAACATGAAATGAGTCACTAGATTTTGTTTAGATACTTTATATTAAGCATAATTCTCACATGCTCAACTATAACCTATAGGACGGGCTCCTAACCGCAATCATCGAATGCTTGGCAACCGCTGGAGCCAAAAATGATGGAATGATTACATGCTACCAAAAATGTGAAGGAGAGCATACACCATTGGATATACACAAGCACAACAGCAGGTCGAATTCCATTCGTGGCACAAGAAGGTTGTGTAGTCATGCATGCCCGAAACGCAAGGCAAAACGAACAAGCGATGGAGCTATACAGGCAGGGATGACTCTGTTTCTACCTACGGCCCTACCCTAAAGCAGAGGCCCACTGCTCCCCTGGTGCTGCTGGTGGCCGCCGCCGAAGCACGGCGCGCCGTACGCCGCCGGGCTGAGCAGCGGCGCGGAGAACCAGGACGCGTAGTCAAACTGCTCTGCCTCGGGCACGGGCACGGCCGCCGCGGCCTGGGCGCGCCTGCTGTCCGCGACCATGGCCGCCGGCGTCAGCGTCGCCCTCTGGTGCGCCGGCCCCGGCGCGGCGGCGCCCGTCAGCCTCTGCACGAGCTCCCGGAAGTCCCTGGGCTCCACGCGGTACACCTTGGGCGGGGGGGCCGGCCGCCGCCGCCGCCGCGCCAGGGCCTGCCCGTCGCGCCGCTCCTCCTGTCGCCGTGGTCCATGCTATAGAAACTCTGCGCTCTGTGCCGATGATGATTGCCGAGAGCCCGCGCTGTATAAATAGGCGGGACGTGGGGTTTTCCTTTTCACACTCGCTCGCCGCGTGCGGTCACTCGGCGAGACTAGTCGTCTGCTTGAAAGAGAGGGGGCGGCTCAGCGGCTGGGTGCAATGGAACACGTGGGGACGGTGGTCAACGTGGCGTGGAAGTGGAAGGGGACCGCCGCACGGGACGGGGCGGGACGGCCGGCTGGCCTAACCGCGGGCCAGGGCTCAGGGGCTGCCTGCCACTGCCAGGACGACGTGTCCGCGTGCGCCTGCCCGGCCCCTGGCTTTCTCAAGTGGTATCCTGGGTTCCTTTCTTCGCTCGTTTTTTTCAATTTTGGTTTGTTACCTTCTATACTAGTTGGAGTCGAATAGAGATCATTATTGCACAATCACATACTAGCAATCGTAAAAAAAATGAGGTGTATAATATGAAGCTGGGAGATGAGAGCAATGTGATGACAGTGCTAGGCCTTCCCCGACTCAAAGCAGCTTCTAGTTCAGTCTCAGTTTTTTTTCAAGTGCATCGAAGAGAATCTTCCAAGAAGCAAAGATGTTCTAGAATCTGGTAGGAGCCATGCCATGAGAGAGAGGGGCGGGAATTTTTTGTGCCCTGCCGGGAGCTGACACCCGGCCGCGGCCGGTGACGCAACTGCTCCTTACCGTTCGCCTGGCTGCGGTCAGCGCCGCCGGCGCGCCATCCAACGGTTCAGGGCTTTTAGGCCTATCAGTTCAGGTGCCATGCATTTCGCCTGTCTCACGAGGACTTTTTAACACTCCACACGGTCCACGCTGACGCTGCTGCAAGCCTAAGCGCGTCGTCTCGTCAACGCTTCAGGACAGCAGTGCTCCATTCACGACGACTCACATGAGAGATGCCAATGCCAAATTACCAATGCAGCGCAGCGGCACCTGGCCCACCATTACGCACAAAGTCGCGTTTGGCCGGTCCTCGCTTGGTAGGGCGTGTCTGGAACCGGTCCTCTTAATTCTACAAGCTAAAGCATCGAAATAGATGGTCTAAAGTTAAAGTTAACACTAAACTTTAACCCATATTATATTAGAGCTTTTATATCGTAAAATCAAGTAAAAGTGCTCTAAAATCTCTACAGCTCTAAAGTTTATAGGAGAAAATCCAAATATGTCCTAGACAAGGGGCGTGTTGGTTGGTCCAACTTAGGGTAGGATGCAGGCATTGAATTTTTAGATGCCTATGCTAGGAGATGTAAAAAGGAGCGCGTTAATGCGTGATGGGCCATGTTTCAGGGGTGTGCGTGACCACAAACTGTTCTTCTTCTTTGACCATCTCCACTCCCATCTCGTATCTTTCTTGGCCCTGCACGCCTCACCTTCGCCTTCCTAGCCCACCAACTCGACTAGCGGCGCTCGCCGCGCCGACCGTGGGGCCTACGCGTGGGAAGGAGGATGAAGATGACCTATGAGGCCTATGTGTAATTGATAGGGAGAGAGTGGAGGACAGAGGGTTATTCTGGGCAATACGGATATACAGTGGTCTGCAAATGGGTCTAACCGCGTCTAAAGCGTACATAATGGTATTTTTCCATAGAACTGAAGAATTATAATGGCTCATCGCCCAATAGGTGAATAGTAATGGTATTTTCTAGATCCGTGAGAATTGTAATAGCACCAATAAAAAATTTGAAAAAATGGTTTCACCGGCTTCTAGTATATATAGAGAGAAAATATATTACATGAACAGTACTCTAAATAGTACTTGCGTTTGGAGCCCTGGCAAAGAGAGATTAACACATCATGAGCTAGCATAAAGACTCAGGCAACGGCTTTAGAACAGTTTGTCAGTGTTCAAATACGCAAGACTGAAAAAATCACCAAAGCGATTTAGAAGCGTTCCAACATTACGTGTCGTTTATAAAGTTGAGAACACAAATCTGGAAGAGAGTGGAGTAGCAACCCGATATGTTTAAAAACTGAAACAATGCAAATCATCAAAGGATTATTCCAACAGTGTATGCAATTCATGGAAAATTGTTCAGTTTGGGAAGAGAAGATCACTTAACTTCCCTAAAGAGGTAGGAAGCTTGTGAAAGTTGACACATCTTGCTAGGCCGATGTATTGGCACCGTTCTTAAAGAAGTATTTGTATATTTGTAAGTATTAACCCTCATGACACATCTTGGTAGGCCAATGTATTGGCACCGTTCTTAGGTTTTGCACGTTCAAGAGATGGTTCAAGGATTTAACCAAGTCCGAGATAGGAAGGTTAGGAGCATCTGGATACCTCAATACTAGCTTTTCATTTATAAATTGAACTAGGTAGATCTGCCACTTGACACTTAGACATCCACTTAACTTCAGAAATTTCAAACAGAGCGTGTTTGAGGATGCTTGCGTAGGAAGACGAATTTCAATGCATCCCCTAGAATGTAGGTTCTGACTTGTTGCAGAGACTTATAGGTTGACGAAGTCTCATTAAGATTCATTTTAGCTGGTAATGACAATTCAGATTGTCCTCATGCATAATGGAATTTAGATGTACCATATCATGCATATGGAATGGAATTTAGACGTCACTATGAAGAGAACAATACAGCGCTTGCCGCTGTTGTCATGTTACACCTCTCGGTCCCCTATATTTTGTAGTGCAGTAGTAAAGCTTAAGAGCACCGCTGGAACTGGCACTACTACAGTAGTTTATCGAGCCGGCGTTTTGAATTATCCGAGGCGGGCAACGCAATTGCCTAGAACAAAAGGTCACGGTTAATACATGAACTACCGAGACGGTTGTCTGCCCGTCTCAGTTAATCAAATAAAAAACAAAAAAAAGGAAATCCATGGACAGGCCCGCCGAGCCCATTCCCAGGCCCGCCGAGCTCATCCACGGCTGCAGGATCTGCGTGTGCGCGCCGCCTCTCGTCGGGGCCGCCCCCACCGGATCTAGAGTGGAGGTTGCGAGCCCACCAGAGTCGTCTGAGGCTCCCCGTGCGCGCCACCGTCGTATCCAGCAGCTGCTCGCCCGATCCGACCGCCACGCGCCACTGGAGGGAGACAGGAAAGAGGGTGTCCCGGAGTTGACGCAGAGCTGAGGTGGAGGAGGAGCACCGCATCGCCCGTGCCGATGCTAGTGGAGGAGCGCCGCCACCTCGCCCCCTGCCTGCCGGATCCAGGCTGCTCCTCGCAGGGGGCGCACCAGATCCACTGCCGGAGCGTCGCTGGAGCAAACATGTGCCATCGGGACGTGTGCCACCCGCCGCCCACGCCTGTGCGAAGGCCGCGCCGCCATGGGAGGGGAGAAGGAGGGTGGTAGCGTTGCTCGGGGAGGGGAGAAGGAGACCGACGCAGTGACGTCAGAGAAGGAGGGGCGCACTCGGGAGGGGGCGAGGCCCTATCGAGAGAGGACGGAGTCGGATAGAGGGAGGTGAGGAAATGAAACCTAAGTCACCTATTTATATTCGGACGCACCTCGCCTAGGGCCTCATGGGCCTCGACCTTTTTCCCGAGGCAGGCCATCTAGGAGCTCCGCCTCCGAAAATGGAGGCATTTTTGGAGGCGAGCCTCTTATAAGGCCCGCCTCCGTTAATAGATTTTAGGAGGCGATTATTTTTTAACCGCCTCAGTAAATCGATTTTGCGAGGTGGTTGATTGTGACCGCCTCGGTTAATAAAAAATGACCGCCTCGGTTAATCCTAGACATTAACCGAGGCGGTTGAAATGCCTGCCCACCTTCGAACCCCTTTGCCAAACGCCTCGGTTAAGTTTTTTTAGTAGTGTGGAATACACTAAGATGGAGAGCAGCTTCGACGCCACCACAGTGTCCGAGGTCGCCGCCAGGTCCAAGCGCTCCAAGCTCCCATCCTATCTCATCTCCTCTGCAAAATCACTCCACCCTTGCAACATATGTAGTATACGTTTGAAACATAACAGTATAATCATTGCAACATATGCAACATTTAGATCTACTTTTGCAACCTCCAGATAAAACACTTGCAACATTTGGATGAAACACTTGCAACGTACGTCTGAAACAGCTGAAACATTTAGAAAATAGTTAAATGCACCGTATCTCCATTAACTTTTAGTGGTGTGTCATCTAGGTTCATCAACTTTCAAACTGCATTTTTTATCCATTAACTTTTGGTGGTGTGTCATCTAGGTCCATCAACTTTTAAACTGTATTTTTTGATCCGTTAACTTTTGGTGGTGTGTCATCCAGGTCCATCAATTTTTAAATTATATTTTTGGGTCCACAAACTTTTTAACTAGTTCATCGTAGGTCCATACCCCTTCGTTTAGCGAATAGATCTGATATGGCATGCCAAAAAAGCAGCCACCGTGGAGTACAGGACGAGATCACCATCCAGAGATAATCTCCAATACGAAGAACCTGATGGGATCACCATCTAGGGTTTCTCGAGCGGCGGCTCGACGGGGATTAAACTCCACAATAAAATCTAGTCCTATCTACCCGGTACAAGGCCGAAGGCCATAGGTATAGGCACGCAGGCGACCTGACCCAAACAAAACTCGGACTTCACCAGCCTAACTAGGATCGATTGATCCTGAGTCCCTGATTCGGCTAACATGCATGGCACGTCCAAACGCAGCCACCAATATGATTCACATATACAGGTGCACGCAGGCACTAAAAGCTAGATGCTAGATAAAAGATTGTATATTACAACTGGATAGAAAACTAATGCATAGAAATAATAAAATACTATGGCAAGAATGCTAATCACGTTAGGAAATTTCCATTGATGATCTCCACCTCTTTAGAATTAGTTCTGATGTATTT